CGGCGATGCCGCTAACTCGCTGACCGAGGGAACACTGGTCGGCAGCCGTGGCGGTGACTCGGAGGTGGCAACCCTCGACGTCTGCGAGATAGCCGCCGGCCGCCGCTCGGACGAAGGCCGGCGGTTGTGGTCACTGGTGATATCGATCAGCTCCTCTATGCGGAACATTGCGTCGTGCAAATCTCTGACAATATATCAGAAGAATCTGACCTGACGACCGACCGATTCGGATCTAATCACTTGTGACCGCTCTCCTCATCGAGGCGCCTCGGCCGTCAGCGCGACATGTGGTACGGCTTCGTCCGCCTGCCATACGGTAGGTCTCTTAAGACTCCTTCTACCGCTCTCGTACGACGCCGCTATCTGAACATTCTCCATTGGCCAGAGTCGTTGCCTTCAACCGCCGCCGCCGCCGCCGCCTTCGATTTCTTTCTGCCGAACGCCGCCGCCTCCTACGCATTTGCCGGCGACCTCCTTCGAAGCGCGCAACGTAGTTCGCTCAGTGCAATGCTACACGATGATAAATAGAGATCATTATTAGACCAAAAAATTCTCATTCACTAATCATAATAGAGTATATCAGAGTTCATCCCTCGTTCAGGAAAATGATGAAATGACCGTGAAACGTTGAACGATGATGGTCGTCGCGATCTCCAGATTTTGACCACCCAAGCAACACTAAGAATACCATTTTCTTACTATTTCCTGATTTCATTCATCATTCTCTGCTCAGGTCTTCAGTTTTTTACCCATTAGTCAGCCTCCTAGCTTCAGAGGCTAACCAAGATTAGGAGGAGATTTCTGAATGCTTCTTTTCTAATCCCAGTGTTCTTCTTCAAAGCAGAGCTGCTTTGGAAATTATGCGAAATTGCATTATCATGCTGCAAGGCTTTACAACAGGTTATCACAATTGTCATCTCTCCTCAATAGCACTCTTCTTACCACCATGTGCTCACTTACTTTGGTCACTGGTGGCTCTCTTCAACGAAGACGCCTGAGCTGGATTCTGACAGAAAATATTTATCATATTATTCATGTATTTTTATGCAATCCCATTCAAAACCGAAACTCACCATTCGACGAAAAAATACTTTAGATAAACGTTCTTGAGAGATCCTTCTCTTTATTATAGGGGATCGCCGTTGTCCAGCCACGGTCATCTGTTTTTGGCTATTTCTCGCCATATGCTATCATATCTCCGTCTAGATCATTGTCCCATCTGAGCCTAGGTCTGCCAAATGGGTACTTGCTTGTCAACTTGTCACCTTTGAAGTCCGCCTGACATCCAACAGTGCTTAACTAGGCGAGTGACTTATCGGCTGG